TACTACTATAATTAATATAAACTAAAGTGAAAGTAAACAATGTTTAACTAATAATAACTGATGAAAATTTGCAAACCCACTTGAAAAACTAATAACGACTGAATTAGAAAAACCACAAAGTCACAACAAAATTGAAGTAAACTGTATTGAAAAACCCCAAACTATTGAAATTCTGTCATGAACTCAGTAAGTACACAGTGGAAGCATTGCTGTAGGAACTCTCTGACGCTACTCACTGTAGCCACAGTCTATCATGTGACTAAAACTGAAACTGACATGAGAGTTTAAAGGAAGGTGGTTTCCACCAATTACCACTCAGTGTGTCAGAGAAGAAGACTGCGTTCTTTACCCTCATTCAACCTCTTCACCACTCCAGTCACATCCTAACTCCATTTTGGAATATGGAATAAACCATTTTCTATCTATTCATATGAACACGTTTATCTGTTACTCGGATTATAGGCACCAGTGAGAGTTTTTTTTCCTTTCTTGTTTTGGTTGTCGCAAAAGTCTGACTTCATTTTTGTCTTGTTACGTGTGTTACAGTTCGGTATGCACTCAGATCTGGGTAAAGTCATCCAGAGTCTACTCGACGAGTTCTGGAAAAGTCCACCCGTCTTAATGTCTGCAGGTCCTGCAGGCTTCCCATAGTGAGTGTCACGTTGTCTTGGGTTTCTTTGCATTTATAGTCAACAAAGTATTATCCATACTGATTTTATCCTAGAAACAAGTGAAGCAGCTCTGATATTAGTTTGGTGTTAGCACAGAGCGTCAGTAACCTTTCTTTTGACGTCTCGAGGTGCATTGACTTTTGTTCTCCCTCATGTTTTGCTGCAGTATGTACAAGCCATCGGGCATCGCTCCTTACCCCACCCAGGCTTTCCATTACGGCCCCCGTCATGTGGGTCCCAGCCAAACACCGCCGCCTGGTTCTGGTGCGACTCCATCTCAGGCCCCAATGCCTCATTCGACGGTGGACATCGCTCACGGCCTTCCTCGAGCTCCAGCCCCGTACGGACTGATAACAGAGCTGCCGCTCCCCGTGCCCACTGGAGACTCGCAGGTACACTGATTGTGAAGCTTGGAGTGTTAAAGTGGGAGGAAGTTATTTGAACAGGTGATCATCCCTCTGCAGCGATGCTTTAGCAACACACCCATGGAGAAGCTACATCATTTTTAATGTTTCCTCCCAGATTAGGCAAATTAGATGCAGCTCTAACTCTGGATTTATGGCACCAGCCAGACACACAAAGCAGTATAAGGCTCTTTGTGGCGAAAAACTTTTCAGGGTTTTATTTGTAGATTGAGATTATTTTCTGCCATGTCACAGTGATTACAGTTACTTTGTGTTTGTCTATTGCTTACACTCCCAGTACAACTCTAAAAGTTTGTGTTTTTTTACACAAAAACACTTGTCAAAAAGCACATAAAAATAATACGAAAGCAAAAGACAAATAGGAATAAAATAAGAAAGTAAGGCAGCTGAACTGCTTCTTTCTCTTCCAGGCGGGACTGAATGGACACATTTACAAGATGCCTGAGATTCCCGAGTCTTTTCCTGAACTCTGTGACAAAACGTAAAGTATCCGAGAATGTCAAATTTACCATTTACATTTTTTTACGTGTACAATTCAAGCCATTGTGAACTTACATTTTCTTCCCTCCTTTCCCAAAAGTCTGACTCAGTTGTCAGACATGTCCGAAAACGAGGACGTCCTGCTGGAGTTCTTTGTGAGTTTGCCGCAACTCAAACAAGTCATGGGTGATAAAGAGGATCTGGTCAACAGCATAGTGGAGATGGCCAGTGAGTTCCTCTTCTTTGCAAAGAGATTGTTGCAGAGTTGTGTTTCATGCTGAAAACAAAACCTGCAAATCTTGTTTCTTGCAGAAAAGAATCTCCACATGGAGCCACAGCTGGAGGGAAAAAGACAAGAGATGCTTTACAAGGTCAGCCTCCTCCGGGTGCCGCTTCCTTCCTTTCATGCTTGTCATTGTCCAGCTGCTCACGTTGTGCTTTCTGTCCGTTGTTTTTCACACAGTATGAACAGCTGACTCAGATGAAGTTAGCCTTCGAAACAAAGATGCAGAGACAGCATGAACTCAGTGAGGTAAATCGCTTCACTCATCACGGCAGGCTTTTATTCCAAAGAAGCACCAGGCATTTGTGTCGAGTCCTGCGATAATTCGTTTTTCGTTGCACGTCCAATTCTATGACACAACAAGGTTTTAGGAAATGCTAATCAATCCAAAGTGTGACATCTCAGGAATTTTATTTTTGCCGCGATAAATGATGAACTGACAAAAACATTTAGAGAGCATCCTGTTTTCATTTCCACTGTTTTGCCCTCACCAGAGTTGCAGTTTAAGCACTCTACAGGCTCGGCTAAAAGTCGCAGCCCACCAGGCAGAGGAGGAGTCGGAGGAGACGGCTGAAAACTTTCTAGAGGGACGCGTTGATATCGATGAGTTCTTAACTAGTTTCATGGAGAAGAGAACGGTGAGAGAAGAAACCTGGCGGTTTATCATGTTTGGCATTAAATATTTGTCACTCAAGTTTCCCTGTAGTGTGTTTGCTGTTCCTTTAATAGTTTCTCAGTTCTACATATTAAAAATTAAGCGGTGGGCACCGCCAGCGAAAAAGTCACCTCCACTAACACTGAAGCGCAAATCATGAATGTTAGTTGTGCTAATGTGCAATCCCAGCAAGGCATTTTCTTTAAGCTAATGCTAAAATGCTAAATTAAACCATGTTGATACCCACCACAGGTTGCAACGTAGCATATGTTCGACAAGGTCAAATTTGTTATTGCTCACCTGTCTGAACAGTTGTGTTTCAGGTCGTGTGTCTTTGTAACAGGCCTTCCACTCATTGTTTCAGTTTTCACAGTTGTTCATCGTTGCTAACTGTGTTGCTAATTTTCCCTAGTTGACCTTGAAGAAATCTTAACAGTCGATAACCAAAACTTCAACGCAGACATTTAACTGTATTGAATTCGAAATTTACGAAATACCTCCCCCCCCAAAAGAAAAATTAGTTGGCGGTTAAGAATTTATCTGGAAATATTAATTTATATTAGAACTAAAACTTGGAAAAATGTGGTAAACATTTCAAAGTTGGTATTAAAGAGATAAATGAAAAATGTGCTTTGCTGTTAGCGCATTAGCAGATGAATGCAAGAGTGCCCATCACTGGATAAATGTGTTTTATGTTTATTATACACATTATAGTTTCTATTAGAGAAAAATATTACATTTATTAGCAATTGGTACACTAGAGAGCATTGGGGTTGAAATTCTTGCTTTTAAATAAAATGTTGTTGTGCCATGGTGATTTAAAAAAAAAACAGACATTGCAATAAAGAATTTTGGAACGTCAAGTGTGACAGTTTGAAATACAAAAGTAACATTTCACATAAAAAAAAGGAAAATAATACTTGATGTTTTTCTGTCTTCAGCTTTGCCACAGCAGAAGGGCCAAAGAGGAGAAGTTGCAACAGTCTATAAACACACATGGTCATTTCCCTCCCAGTCACTAAAACACAAGGTACAACATCAGTCATCTGTTTTCTGATGAAGTGAAGCTTCGTAGAGCTCAGCTGACAGTTTTGCAACAAGCAAAAAACCTTTGATTTTTCTCTGTTTTTTATTTTATTTTTTATTTTTAACAATGTTCTCATTCAGCTCCTGACATTGTATTTTTTGGTCTTCCAGGACTGGTGTTTTTGTTTTGTTTTTTTGTTTTTTTTTCTCAGCCGACTGCTGCCAACAGAAAACGAACGCATCAAAAACTTACCAGGAGCTGAAAGCACACCGAGTCAATGACGGACAACCAGCAAGAGGTTTTTGACGATGAAACTTTGGAGGATGAGCGTCACTCGCGTGGAAAATGGGCTGAGGCCACGGAAACGCCCGGACTCGCAGTGGATAGTTTTGTTTGAGCTTTCCAGTTGTTTGACAGTGATGAAATATAGTTTAATCACTGGGATTTGTTTCACTTTTATTTCTCAGTAGGGGACACCTGCATAGTATCAGATTGTTTGGTGTGAACACTTTTTGAAGAAAGTTCAAAGGCTTGGCACATTTTATCAGCAAAAGTAAAATTTTTAAAGAAACGTCACCAGGAAAATATTGAGCAAACCAAACATCAGTATTTGTACTCTGGTTATGTCCTCAGTGGTCTCACTTCCTCTTTCACAGAGATACTGTGCCAACCGCTGCACAATAATTATCCAAAAACGTTTACAACTCCTGGTTGCTAAGTTAACTAGGCTAAATTCAGAGTTTTTTGTTTTTGTTTAAAAAGGCAGGCTTGGTGTTTGACTCCTGCTTTTTATATGAAAACTGTAAAACAAGAATTTCATTGTGAAAGGATTTGATTTTATTCTGAAAGTGAACCCCACGATCGTCGGTGTGTTTGCATTGACGTCGATGATTCAATATTGAGAACCCAGAAATCATCCAGTGAAAGAGCAGATAAAATACTGCACACCATCTGTGTGTATTGAATACCTGCAAAGATTTCTCATTTTTGGGCGTCAGTATACTTTACTTCAGACTACTTGTTGTCATGTGAATAATTTAGCCTCAATATTACTTCAGCACTACCTTAGCTGAGTCGGCTCTTTCACTGCAAACACTGATGTTCTTTTTCTCTCTCTTTCTCTTACTTGCACAGTAATGACACCTAAGCTGTTTCCTGACATCTTTTGAACTTGGATTCTACATGGAAAAAAATGAAAAAAAAATGGGACAATTTTTGGGGGAAAAAAATATGTTGCGGAAAAAAAAAAGCTTAATGGCATCGGATACTGTATTTAAATGTTAATAATAGGCTATATTATAATCAGAGACTCAGACACCTTGTATCATATGTTCTTATTTAATTTGTTAGAGTAATAAAGCCTTTAGAATAAGTCTGGTTGGTGCTGTTTTATTGTAATATTGGGAATAATTTTGAAAGGAGAAAATTCCCTGTATTTCTTGACACAAAAACCTGTTCTGCAGCGACGTGACGTCTCCCATCCAGCAGGAGGCGCTAATTCTTCAAAACGCCCTCAAATCCGGAAGACAACACGGAAGGCGCGTTGTCTGGAAGAGAAGCAGGTGAAGGTTTTATTTTCATCTTAAATTAGGGAGAAAAAGGAAATACAATGAAGTTTGGACAGGCGGCGCAGCATTTAGCTAGCAAAGCAGACAACATAGCTTCAAAATGGCGCTGAGGGTGAAAGTAGACGTTACTAACGGTCGTTCTTATTGTTACTTAACGTGAAAAATGGATCAAATGTAACGCTATTTCTGAGTATGGTCATTCCTAATGAGTTGGTCGTTCTAACACATGAATTTGGGTCAAACTAGGGGTGTCCAAAGTGCAGCACGGGGCCCATTTCCGGCCCTTTCAATTATTTTGTGCTGGCTGCTTGAGTGACATTTCCACTAACGATTTTAACATGGGAATTGTTGGTACAGCGTATTAAATCCGAATGACTATCAGTGTTAATTGTTTAGATACATCATTTGGTAGGCTATGATATTTAGGGCCATGCTTTAAAATTCAGCTTGCGACAATAAACTTGGATGTAAAAACGGAGCATGTGCAGCTTCTATAATCACGGCGTCTCTGTCTGTCAGGAAGCATGTCGAGACAACTGGGAGACAGCCACCGGAGGTTCCTACAGACCCTGATGGCTGTTGGCATCACTGATGAGCAAGAGGCAAGGGCGCTTTTTCAGCACTGCTGTGACACACACAAGAGTGAGTAACTTTTCTACTTCTGTGACAAGTGCTGGTCCATAAGTAACAAGAAGGATTGTTTCTTCAACCACAGGTGCAAACTGTTGATATCCGGAGGATTCTGTGTTGTAATTTCACCCCCTAATCGGAAAATATTGGATGAGATGCAAAAAAAAAAAATCATACTATGCGTGCTTTTTAGATGATGTGATGAAAATATGTTAAAATGTAAAATCTAACATTAGTTGATCTGTTTTGCTTGACTTTTGTCATCTGATATTCAACATTAAACAGTTAAGTCTCAGAAAAAGTAGTTTTCATGTCATTTTTATTTATTATTTTTTTTTTTTTTACTTTTTTGCAGTGCAGTGTTCTCCTGACAAACTCGATGAGTTTATTGAAGCCATCAACTCCAGGCTGCAGCCCATGTTCATGCAGATCAGAAAAGGCATGTCTGAGGAAAATGGCCACCAGTACTATGCCTTGGTCAGTACTTTTTTGCTTCAGAAAAACGTGCAGTTAAAAGGCTGCTGTTTTGATTTGTTCTATCAGATTGAAAATGTCATAACCTCCATGATCCTCGGCAGGTCAACATGGCAGAAACCGATATCACCAGGATGACGTCAGATTACGCTGACAATGAACTGGAGTTGTTCAGGAAAACGGTGAGAGAGGTCTACTCACTTTTAGCTCCCAAGTTTAAAATAAAGGGACACAATGTAAATGGCATATTATTTGTACTGAAAGTATTTTTAAACAGCATCCGCTTACTGGGTGAGTGAGAATCAAACTTATTCAGGGGTTTTGTTTAAACACACAAATATTGTGAATCTCATTGAATCCAGCTGGACCTAATTGTTAGCTCTGAGAACGGGAAGGCCTCCTCCACAGACGTCCTGAACAGCACCGACACCATGACCTCTAAAAAACTGAAGAAGAGTGAAACAGAGCACCTTCTGACTCGACTGGTGCAGGACAAGTGGCTTTGCGAGGTGAAACGCTCCGTCTTTCTGCTTTGGTTGGTTTGTTAAACAATTTAGCAACAATAGGGTGTCCATGCTACCTTAGAATGACTTAAATTCATTGGAACAAATGTAAGTTGGCTTTAAAAAAATTACGGGTCATAAATTTAGTCAGAGCAAGATTATTCAGTCTTGTATGTAGTTTCTTTTTTCTTATGGGATTTTCTGTCAAGGTTTTGAGTCGTGCAGACATTGCATTTTGACGAGAGGCTATTGATAACTAGCTGCTAACTAACTAGATAGCTGGATTATTGCATCCATCATGGTAAGTGCAAATGAATGACATTTGTTTTTGCCACTTGCTCACTTCTTCCGCCAGTCCAGTTCAGCAGATTTCCCCAATCATCATAGTTTATTTTTTCTGTCTTAAATTTCATTCAAGCTGGCATTAAAAAGTCTTAGTCTCGACTTGCTAAATATGCAGATTCCGTAAAAACACTACTGACCGTGTGCAAGCTTTAATTATGTTTCAGTCAGCTGTAGCTTTGGCCTGAAACTTGTTTCTTTCTGATACAGGATGGTTTATCTTTTTTTTTCTTACCATTCTTCTTTGTAAAATAACTTCAAATCTGTCAGATTGGATGAAGAGCTTATGCAAACAGCAACCGAACCGTCGTTTTAGGTTGATGGGCTCATGTCTTGGTAGGCTTTCCCGTTCGAACACTTGATCGGTGTTCTTTAAGATCGTCTCCTAATCTAAGCTGTTTTCCCACAATATGTGTGGTTTCTTCATGATGCTGTTTGTTCATTAACGTTCCATAAAGCTCGATGACATTTCAGGTTGTTCAGTCCTGTGTGCCTGCTTTCACCTGTGGCTGATTTCTGAACCTAGAAACGTGGGGAGTACACTCTGTCCACTCGGTGTATCATAGAGATGGAGCCATACATTCGCACAATGTATCAAGACCAGGTCAAAGTGTGTCACATCTGTCACAACATTGCGTTTCAGGTAATTTTATTTATTTTCTGTGATTGTACAACTCCACTGCCTGCCCAAAAAGAGTCACATTCTGATATTTTGTTTATATTTCAAAACAGAAATGCAATGTTCTCTGTTTGGACAGTTTCTCTTTCTTGTTTTGGTATGGCGCCGCCATCATTATTTCAGCATCAACTGCTCTTTAAGCGCCGCACTTAAAGCAAATAAAGCATTGATCAACAATTAATCAAAGTTAAAGCCTTTTTTCCCCGTTAACTCCACTGATTAGTGGTTTTCTGAAAGCTACGCATCATTTTAGTCTCAATATCTTCACTTCCCTTCACATTATGCTTATGGAAATACGTAGACGTTCACTATTGAAGATTTTGCGGGATATTTTTATTTTTTGGACGGACCATGTAAAATTAATGAACTCTCTATAATTGCCTAATTCAGTTTAGTTCTTAGTTTTATTCAACTTATTCCATTAAGTAAAAACACATACCAAATAAAGCACAAGCTTCCCTTTAAATAAAAGCTTTAAAACTAATTGAAACTGATGCGGTGTGTAATGCTTCGCTGTTCTTTTCTCTTTAACCAAAGTGCCAGATTTGTGAGAATCCCTCCTGTGGAATAAAAATCCACAACCCGTGTGTTGCCAGATACTTCAAAGGAAGAGTGGAGCCACGCTGTCCAGCTTGTGACGACTTTTGGCCTCATGAAATCCCTGGTACATATTAAACATTATAATATCAAAATAATATGTTTATTGAGGAGTTTTGCTTCATATTTAGGAAACAGCACTGCATCCTTTACATTTTATTTAGCTGATTTTTCATAAATTAGAACATAATAGTGAGGACTCAGTGTTATCAGTGTTTTCCCTGAGCTTCATATTCTTTACCCTCTTCTTTTGCAGAAGTGAGAGGGCTCCGTTCTCAGTCCAAGAGATGATTTCAACGATGTTGTTTGAACCCCTTATTTAAACATACTATATATTTCCTCTTGTTTCTGCAAATAAATTAGATGTTTTATTATTGTGTCTTGTTAACACACATTGAAAATAAAATCATGATTTCTAACATTTTGCGAACTTTTTAAATGTCTTTTATACTATCTCTATTAGCTTGATTCAGGTCATTTGAACTATTGTCAGTTCCCATTTTCTAGCTTGCTCAAATTCCTTAAAAGGCTATTTTTAATAATATGTATAAAGATAATACATAGTGAATTGATAAATACACAATATTTAAAATTTTGTGAAAGAAGTCTGTAATAAATCATACAAGCAAAAATACAAGATGCAATAATAATACATAAAAAGTGATAATGTGCTTTTTTGTGTGGAGGGGTTGACTTTCTATACTTTGCTATTTTATCCTTTTAAGAATCTCATGGAGATTAGAATATTTACAAGGCTGTTTGATATTGCTAATCTATTTCTTCTTTTTTTTTTCAATGTGGAAGAAAGTCGCACCGACCCAGTAAACTCCTTTTCTTCTTCCTTTAAAATTGACTTTTAGTTTTTCCATTGTAACCGGCTCTGACAATTTTAGGTCGCTTTCTGAATTATTCAGAGATGTAGACGATTTCTTCTGACTTTCCAGCCGTGTTCAGAGAGAGTTGATCACCTAACAAAGACGAAAAGCTGCAGAAAACAACTGCTGCTTCGCCTGGAGCGTGAAATGAGACCGGTTTCTGAAAAGAGAATATTTCAGATTAGTAATGAAACTCGGTTCGATTCTTACATACAACCAGTTTTCTTTATTAGTAAGCTTTCATTAGTTACAAATGTGTATCTAAATTTGTTTTACATTTTTCTTGAAACAGACGCTGTCTTGGAAATCACATTGTAAATTTTCACAACAGTTTCAAAGAATCTTTAAGTGTCAAACTCGAGGCTCTGGGAACCAAATCCTAAATATTACTTTATCAATCAGAGCCGTTTCTGTCTTTCATACTACCTTATTGTGAAACGTTGTTCATTATTTAATTTTAGGAAGTACTCATTGAATGCAGAAACAGGTATTTAATTTTTTTAAAATATAGTTTCTGTCATTCTGAAGACATTCTTGGTCTTGATATGGCACAAAATGAGACGCCTCTGCTCTAAACTGTTTAACGTGAACTAGATATTGTGTTAACTTTGCTTTCCAAATTTATCTACCTGCAGATAACTTCCTTTCTTATGCATCAGCTGGACAGTGCTAGGTCAAATGCATTCTGTTAAGTTAGTCACACGACAGGATCTTCAATCGGAAGCTTCTTCAGATTCGCTGTAAAACGGACTGCTCTGTCCGCCCCACAGTTTATACAACTCTGAAGAACTTTGAAGAATTAAAACATTTAACTTCCCTTTGGGGTCAAGAAATTATTTTATTCTTGAACTGAGTTGAACATCTGTGCGTCTTGTTAAAGCATGTTTGTCTGTGAGCAGTCATCTTTTAGGATCTTCAGAGTCACAATTAAAGAAATACTTTTTCTGAACCAGGGATAGAAAAAGGCGTATACGAGCGGATTCAAGCAGGAATTGAAATACACCATCCAGGACACGACGGCCCAAGACGAGGCACTGTTGGAGATGTCTTGACCTGCGAGAGACGGGTAGTAATACGGACAGAAAGTCACCAGAAACATAAATATAATAATGCCAAGAGTTCTGGCTGCTTTCTGCTCGGATTTCGTCGCCGTGACCCTAACCGTGACAGCTGTAACGCGAGAGCGCATGGCCCGGGCCTGCGACACCGCCTCCACAAACACTCTCATGTACAGCAAGACGATGACCGAGCAGGGAGCGATGAAGGTGAAGACTAGGTCTACGGTTCCGGAGACGTAGCTGATGACCACCAGGCACTCCCCGTAGCAGGAGTTGTACCTGTCCGGCTGCCTGAGGTGGTCTTTTAAGATGAGTCCGTTATAGAGGAGAGAGCAGGCCCAGCACAGGCTCACAGACGCCTCCGCTCTGCCCCGAGTGATTTTACTCGGGTACTGCAGGGGGAAACATATGGCCACGTAGCGGTCTATCGATATGAGCACCATGTTGCCCACGGAGGCCGAGGTGAGCGTGAAGCCGACCATGTAAGACAGGGCGCACATGACGTCGCCCAGCAGCCAGCAGGGCTCGACGAGCCGCACCGCTTCCACCGGCATCACCAGCAGCCCCACCAGGAGGTCCGAGGTGGCCAGGGAGAGCAGGAGCGTGTTGTTCGGGGTCTGCAGCTGCCGGAAGTAGGAGATGGAGACGATGACCAGCAGATTCAGAGCGACGGTGACCACGGCCACGGAGGAGAGCAGCGCGTACAGCAGGACGGCCTCGGAGGGAGGTCGCTTCAGACCTCTGCAGGAGCTGTTTGGGTGCTGGGGGTAGCAGAGTTCAACTCTGTCCTGGCTGTCCATCTGTCAGGATGGAGCTCACAAAACTGCCTAAACCTTAAAGACCTCCGCTCCTTATTCTCAGCTGCATCTCTCTGCTACACCCCCTCCTTTACATTTCTCTGCCTCCTATTACTTTTTCCCCCCTTCAGTTTTCCTCCTCCCTTTCCCATCCTCTTTCATCATCATTGTCACTGTATGATGCAAGATTCTGTGTTTCTTGTAATCCCTAAACATCTTAGTTGTGATGTCCAGCACTTCATTACATGTCAAGAAGCTTATATGCCCCTGTTAACGTGACAGGTTCTTATGAGTGTTTGTTTTTGTGTGGCAGCTGGCATATGTAACTTGTTCACTTGTTTTTTCTGTTTGCTTGTTTTTGTTTTAAAAATGCAAAAATAAGGGAAATGCTAATAAAACACGTCTTTATAGGGGTTTGTCATATCCTTTTGATGAAGTCATTGTTTGCAAAGATTGTAAAAAATACCAAAATAAGCAAATTTTAAAAAATCATCACTGGGATGATTTGGCACTCGTCAAGACACGAGTGCCAAAAATGCTACAGGTGAATACAGTTACGTGAAGAAAATGAGGCCAACTGTTTGACATCAGGCTGGTTGTGCATCCTTAAAAAAATATGGCTTTAAAAGTTCAAATTCATTTTTAATAGTAAGTTGGCCTTTAATGTGTTAATCACAGGTCTCATTTTGTCTCGGCAGGGCTGTTTAATCTCATGTATACTACATATTATCTTTTTTTCACTGGACTTTTCTGTCTGGCAAAAGTTCAAGTCACATCTTCCCATTCTGTGATCCTACATGGTTAACTCCCAAAATAGCTAGCTACGTATTTTGCATCAACTACAAGTTGTAAAACTAGCTATTATAAGCCAGTGTGTACTAACTTATTCTAATCTTACAAAGTGTATTTTTGTTAAATGTCTAAAAATTTAATTTTAGCTAAAGTGCAAATAAACCATTTTACATTCACTTGAAGGGTGTCCATATTTCCCCTTCCCTTGTCTTGTTAGTGGTTTGCTCAGACGTAGTTCAGCTGTGCTGTCAACCCATCATGTAGACGTGTGTGTATCCATTTTGCAGCACTGCAAAAGAAGGTGGACGCACATAAAATGCAAAGTGAATTCCCCTCATGTGAGTTTCAGGGTAATGTTGCTTTCCCTGCAGTGGATCACCGCATCCTTCTCCATCGCTGAGAGCACCTTGTATGTCTTACCCGCACTGGTTTGGAGTGATTCTGGTCATATTTGACAAACAGATCTGAGTTTGCCTCCATTAGCTGTGTCTGTTCATTGACCCACTCTATTTCCTGTGGTGTGCCCCAAGGATCAGTTGTGGAACCCCTTCTTTTTAATTTATACTTGGTGCCATTTGGGTGCATTATCAGCAGCAATGGAGTATCATGTCATTGCTGTGCTGATCGCTCTCATCTGTACTTTTATTTATAAAATTGCTTCTATTAAAAATAAAATTACTGGCATCTCTCATAATGTGATGAGCAACAGAGGCATTATTCTGTCTTACGTAGTGTTTGATCAAACTTATCTAAAATTCATTTATTGTTTTTGCTATATTTGGACAGTCTGGGATGAAAAGGTCCAGTTTTCAGTCTGCATTTCTGGGTCAATTACAGTACCTTGTGAAAGAATTCAACTTCCCACTATTTATCATATTTTTCCCGAAAACTGAATTATATTTTGTTAGAATTGTATCTGGTAGAAAGGCCAAAATTGCTTTTCCATGTGTTGAAGGGCTTAGACTGTATCAACCTTCAAACAACGCCTTTATGGTAAAACATAGTGGTGGCAGCATTATGGGCACAATTATTTTGCAAAACACTGTAAAGACAATAACTAGTTGGCATGAATTAGCTGTAAGAGGAACAGTGGTTATTAATGTTACAAAACAGTAGCTTGCATGCATAGCTTGCCATCTCCGGTTTCATTTAAAAGTTCACAACAATCTTACACAATGAATAATTTTAGCAGTAAATTTTCACTTTAATAAGCAGCAGGCAACATGGTCCAGGTTTACACTGACCAGAAGTTTCAGGCTGAAATGCCCGTGGTTCAAGTTAGGACTTAAATCAAAATTCTCAATGTTTAAATAGAACAATAACAACAACAAAAAAAACCCACACCAGTTAATGTATTATTTCGTTTAAAATCTTTCACCCTTGGCTGATTTTCATCAGATTTTTTCCAATGACCATGTGGAGACAGGTTGCATCACCTGTTGTTGTGAAAGTGTATTCATTAACACCTCAGACAGCAGATCACCAGTGGATTGATGTGTTAGCAGGCGTAATTACAAACCCGCATCCCTCTGGTACGTCGAGTGACAACTTCATGTTTTGTTTTCCTGTATCATTTCCGAAACTGTCAGCTTTGTGTGCTTGTGAATTAGCAGGTTAGTGTTAAAGATTAAAAAATAAATACATTTCTGAAGTCCCAATGCTGAGGTTTTCTATTTATTTTGTTTTATATTTATTACTATGTAATAAATATTCAGCTCGGTTATTGGAAGAATAAAAGAGGACTTTCAAATTGTTTTGTTTTGGTCCTTCACAGTTCAAAATGTTAATTTACCAACTTCTCCGGGACTCTAAGAGATTTCCTGGCATTTACAGTGGAAACTGTTGTCCTACTTTTACCACATGGATTTAACTTATGCGACCCACTGCTTGGACCAAAGGCGGCGGAAAAATCTGCTGATATTCGATCATCGAACAAACCGACTCGTTTAAATGGAGGAAATAAAAAATACTCCTTGCTAGATGTTGGTGACTTCTATACTTTTATTTAAAAAAACAAATACTCAAACCATTTCATTTATTTTTTGATTGTGGCTTTAAGCCTCATATTAAAACTAAATTAAAATATAATGCACATTTTTGTTACAAACAAAACAAAAATTGGATATTAAAAATATCACAAAAACTTCTGATCTGAGTTGTTTATATATATATATATATATATATATATATATATATATATATATATATATATATATATATATAATTGTATTCTCTTTCCTAAAATATGTATTCCCCTTTAGTTCTCATAAATGTATCCTCTGATTTCCTCGCAACACATGCTTCGTATTTTATATTGTGTTTTGCTTTTGAGGTTCAATAAAGTTGTTTTTTAAATTATTTTAAAGTTGCATACTTTGTACTCAAAAGTCAACATCGTGATGCCCTTCAAAGATCGACGATGACGTCGAAGGCAGTGGAAGGCCAACAAATTTCACTGTTTTCAGAACATTTTTTTTTTTGGCGTGTGGTTCACTTATTTCAGCTCTTCTCCATAAACAACAATAATCACAAAAAATACTGTTAAACGTGATTAATATTCATTTTCAACTCATGGTTAGAAAACATCCAGAGTCCTTAGTGTGCTCTTAGAGTAATTTCCAATGGTCCAAAAGTCCCTACTGAAAAATTTCGCTTCAGCAAAAAAAAAAAAAAAAAAAAAAAACATAAAAAAATCCCCCAAGAAATCTGTAAGTGGGCAATAATATTTAATGGCACTATACGCCACTCTCTCATGTGCTCTTTCTATAAAACTTAGAAGACCTTAAATGTTCGGGAGTTATTTTTAATAACCTTGCTTTTAATAGCCTCAATCTAGCTTTAGAGTCCTACAAGATACAGAAACCACACTTGTTAAATGGACCAGTGAGCAACCCTTAATTGCCAACAGAAACATAGTTCAAGTTAGTTGTTTTAGACTCAGCTGCAACACTGAGAACTTTTAGTCACAACATCCTCATCATCCAGAGTCCTGGATCACAATTAAAGACTTTGCTCTTGATATTACATCCATATGCCTCAGTTAGGCTGTTCCACTGGACTATTTTTGTCCTGGTGCTAATGCTCGCACCTAGCTAGCGTCGAGATTCAGCTAGCTTAAAGCAGCACCATTAGGTCTCTACAAACGTTTCAGCCAGTTAACGATATATCCTTATGTTTCATTGAGGATCGCAAAAGACGAAGACTTCAGGATTTATCTCAGTATCCCCACAGACATGGGACACTGACATTTAACTTAGTAGCTTTGTTTCAAACAGCACATGATTTTCATCAGCAATTCACAATCAGACTGACTTGGTGGAAAAACTCTTGATAATTATTCATCCTCCAAAATGTATCTATGTAGTGATGTACCTCTGGAATCATTCTCTCGCCATTTTCTGTTCTCTATTTATATATTTCCTTATAAATACATTATTTAGATACATTATGTTAGCCCTACTTCCATACATAGGACGGCATATTCTACTTGCCATAAGGTCTTATACTACTATATCATGAGATGAGTGACGGCTGTGTTTCCCAAAAGTCAACCACTGAAAAATTCCTGAAATTCAGTCAGATGCCATTCTGTCTGTTCAAACTTTGTTAAGTTTTTATCTTCACATTAAGCTCTTTTTCTTTCTTTTTTTTTTTGCCCTGGATGATCTTTTGAAATCAGTACGTCTGTGTACTCTTTTTCGATCTTATTCAAGTCTAGTTATAGTTTAGAGTTTCTCTTAAAGCTAAAAGACTTTCTGCTGCCATTAACATTCTGCTTTTTTTAAACATAGAAAGTACTCCTGGATCAGTGTCTCTGTGTTTTTGTCCTCAAAAGCTCCAGCTGATCGTGGCAGACGTACCCTGGTCCTGCTGGAGGTTTGTTCCTGTTAATGAGGAGTTTTTACTCTCCACTGTCGCTACATGTCTTGCATTCAGGATCGCTGCAGGGTCATGTAAGCGATTATCTACTGTTGCTATGAGCTCAACCAGAACGAGTGCATGCTGCTGTCAGCATTTAAATCAATCTGCTTGGTTTCCTTACATAGAAAACATTTTAACCAATGTGAAATTTACACTCAACTTGACTGCATAGATAATCAAATAGCATCAAATTAGAGGTAAGTATTTGACTTCAGATCCGTCAGAATGAATGGATCGATTTGACAACAAAAGAAAATAAGGCTGTTACCACTGAAGTTGGAATTTTCTCTGATTCCTTTTTCTTTCATTTCCTTTTTAAGACAAGTGAGTAGTGATAATAATTACTATTATTAACTGTGCTCATGTGTTTTGGTAAAACA